GGGATTGCTGCACAAAGTGTAGTAATTTTCTGCTTTCCACATTTGCAGCCAAGAGCTGAGCGGCTTGCACAAAAATTGCTTAAATGTTGACGACTGCTGACTTTTCAGTACTGAGGGTATTCACGATAATAGCTTAATTGCTGAAACATGAAAACATTCATATAAACATAAATTTTTTATTCTTTGGCAATATAAAAATGTTAATTTCAATAGGATGGCAAAAATATCATTTTGAACCCCATGTAATAGGCGGAAGGTAGCACAACGGATCCCATAAAGAATGAGAAAAATGTCATACTTCAGCCACAAAGCAATGAAGCTATGCCTGATAGGCAACCAACCAATTCATCTGCCTTTACTGAATACCCCCAGCGTTTCTGTTTCTGTAATCACATCAGAAAGCACTCTCGGCACGCACACATAGAACCCCACACACATGCCACTACGGGGCGGTCCAGCTAAACAGTAAATCGCGCTGACTACTGAGAAGTGGAGCTGGCCGCTCCGCGCTAAAGGAGCGTCGCGCCAATATTTTCGCTCATTTTTGTCCTCAACGGCAGGCACTGCGGCAAGAAAGAATGCTGCCCGCCTAAAATCTCATGCTCAGCAGTTGGCCTCTCTCCCTCCATCTGCGTGTCGACCCCCTTCCTCCTCTTTGAAAATTGCTACACGTTGCGCTCGTTCGGTCAATTCGTTTTACATTCGGCCTGCAACGCCCACGGGGCAGGGCCTCGTGCTCCGATTAATGTTTCGTCATTTGCAACGGCGACACAAATTATCCAACTGAGCATTCGGAGCAGGCATATGAAGTTTGGAAGTGGAAGTAGTGGGAGGCGACTTGGCGACTCCAAATTATTGCCGTAATTCAAAGGTCTTCTGACTAGACTTGGGCGTTCTATTTCAATTTTGAGCTCAAGTTCAATAGTTTAATTTTTCGTCAAGCACCACGTCTGTGATGCAGTTTATGGGTCTACCGAGTTCTCAGTATAGGTTAGCAATGGTTTAGTCATAGACCCAATGAATTTTTCGCATGTTCTTCTCGCGTATTCGAAATCGAGTTGAGTTTTATGTACATATTAATCGTTTCCATTTAATCATTACTTTTATAATAAACTGATCTTTTTGAAATCATCAAAGTGATATTTTCTAACTAGAATCTGTGGAGATGAACACTTTTTCGGTGGTGTTGAATACAAAATTAATATTTTATTTAAACCAAATTGATGTTTTTCTCTTTGAAATTAATTAAGCATAATAATACTTGTAGGTAATTGGTAATCATTATTATTATTATATTACTTTCCACAGTAGTTTAGGCAAAGAGGCTTTTTAGTAAGTCACCAGAGAAGACTGACTTCCAGAAGTATCGCAGTAAGTCCACGTTTTAGTTACGTTTCACAAATAAAGAGAAACAATTTCAATTCGGTAGTAGGAAGTTTTTCAAAAAAAGAAGCAACTTATCTACCGACAGGATTCCAGAAAAGCAGACGAACGTATGCTGATCAGCAAGCGATATGCTTCCGGTCGTATGCCAAGAGGGATTACCATCGTTGGTTAGTTTAGAGAGATAATTTCGAGGAGTGAGTCCCGCAAATCATGCCATTGTTTAAAGCCCAAATAAACCACACAAATATAAACAAGTAACGCCCTGACGACGACGCGGCGTCTGTTCATAATACCCGTTTGGCCAATTAATCTTGCAACGCAAACGCAATATTATTATAGTGTCGATTACCCAACACACAGAAACACACACAAGGACACGCCCCCTGCCTCCGTACAAGCACGTGTCGACAAGGGACCGGCCATGGCCATATACTCGTCGAAGAAGTATAGTTTGATGTTCGGCGGCCTTAAAGAAAACTCAAACAGGCCGAGAGACTGAGATTTAACCAGGCTTTGGTTGCAGCAGCAACAACAACGACTAATCCTGTGCATAATGTCGCCCAAATGCGAGCGTACGTCAGACCCGCCACGACTCAAATGTCGGCCAGTCCCTGACGAAGTTGCCTCGCCTTGCCTCCATATCTGCCGACGTCAAAATGCAACCGCAACGAGCCACTGTTTGAGCCGCCGCGTCTTTCCCATTGTGTGTCGGCCAAATGATGTGCCAAACAGACACTTCCAGATACGCAGATTCGGATAGTCGAACACTATTTAAATGGGTGGTGCTGCTGCTGCTGCTGGTGGTGATGGTGGTGGGAACTGGAAGGGGTACTGCAGGCCCGCTGCAGACATCATCGCGTGTTCATAGCCTCCTCGTTCCGAATCTCGTTTTCCATAGCCCTGCATTGCCTGTCGTTGTTGTTGTTGTTGTTGTTGTTTGGTGCTGTTGTTTTTGTTGACGCTGTTATTTTGTGACAATTTTAGCAGCAGGAAATAATAAAAATGCAAACAAATCGTTAGATTTTCGAATTGAAGTGTTTTGTTTTAGTTTGTATTATTGTTATTGTTGTTTTTGTTGCCGCTGCCGCTGCTCCTGTAACTATTATTGTTGTTGTTGAGCGCGTGTTATTTATGTAGATGTGTTTGTAAGCGACAGTGGCACAAAAGCATTGAAAGCTGAACAAAAATAATACTAAGGAGTCAAAACTGACGGACATAGAAAATACAAAGTCTCTATTTCTTATTCGATCGACTGTCTGTCGATTTTGAAATGTATATGTGTTCGTGTTACGATTTATATGAGAAGAAAATCATTTAAGACTTTAGTAAATTTATTTGTGTCGTCATGCAAAGAATTATAATAAAACTTTGCAAGAACTTTCAATGGTCAATCTAATAATATAATATTAATCTGAAAACATACTCAATAAAAACATTGCAATAAATGGTAATCTCGGTACATATTTTTTTTAAAAATTCGAAATTGGTTCAATAAATCAATTTTTCGCTAAAGAAAAAACACATCTACTACAAGCAGAGTAGGCATACACATGTACATCCAAGCAGTGCTTGTTGGCAAGATTTTCCGCAAAAGCTTCAACTAATTATAATTTTTATGAGGCTTCTTTTGCTGTTCCATTTCAAATTGAAACATGTGCCATCATCTGATTTGTCGAATACGAATGAGCCCACTGTGCCGCACCAATAATGATGATGACGTTTAACGATATCAGTAGAGTCAGAGTTGCCGTTTACTGCCGCAGCGGCGGTTTTGAAGCTGATGGCTGGATCCGAAACTGAAGCCGGTTCCGGGCCAGGGTTTGTGCAATTTTTGTTACTTATATTGTTGTTGTTGGGTACACCATTGTGTGTTAGTGTGTATGAGTGTGTTAGTGCGTGTGTGCAAGTTTGTGTGTTTATGCCTGCGATAAGCCAAAACGGCGGCCATAACCGTGCCCATATTATTTGTAGGGATTTTTGCATTCATTGCAAACGGTTTCAAGGATTTGCCGAATTCAAATCCAAATATGGCTGTGGTAGTTATCTTAACAGTTATCAGGCGATTCTTGTTCGTTCGTTGGTATTCCCCCTTGCCAGTAACTGCGAACGAAGCCAGCCAGTTCGCCTGCCAGCCAGCCAGACAGCCAGCTAGAGGCAACGACAGCAACTTTATTTGGCAGTAAAATTGTATACCATTTTATAAGCAACATAAATGAGACATTTATTGTGACTGCGGCTATGGCTATAGCCGTTGTACGTGCATCGCCGGCATTATCATTTGTAAACACAAAATGGAAAAAGAAATATACAAATAAAAATAAAAATAAAGCGAGAGGCCAGGGCAAATAAAATTAAAAACTACATGGAATGTGACAAAACTGTTGAAAACTTATAAATAAACTGATGAAATGAGAGCGGCAATTACAAGCGGCAATTTACATTGACATGCATAAACAATAACTCAGATCGGCAGCGCCTCAGTTCAAGCTACAAGGCTGCCAACTCAACTCACCCTCGAGCAAAGGTCCTTTCAACACGCAGTTCGCTGCCCTGTATACCGACCGTCGGCTTGTTGCGTGCGTTCTCCTGTTGACAGAAAAAGGATCACCGAACATTAACATCAGCCAACAGTGACAATGGAATGCCGCGCATGCGCATGCCGTGTCTATCGAGCGGACATTGTATCTCCACATCTACAAACAAGTTTAAGCAGCTTAAGTTGTTTCTCAAATGCTGAAATAGTTGTGACACATTCCATGGGATGTTCTGAGAGCGAAAATCGACGAATGATTTTAAAACTGAAAACCAAACATTAAGAAAGTCGTCGAACTAAATTTCCGAGCTTCCGGCAAAAGAGAAAAGGTGGAAGCTCTTCAACAACTCTCAGCGTTTTCGGTAGCGCGTTCAATATTTTCCTAGTGTGAAAGGCTATTGAAAAATTTGAACAAGCGATTTCGAAATTCTTGTATATGTAAATGAGGAGCATGGCCACATAAAGTATATAAAAAACAGTCTTGATTGTCCCCCACAGTTAGAGTATAGTTCTGTTTCTCAAATATGGCTCTTCGTATGTGATTTACTTGTGGCCTGCTCAGCGGGTGCTCGTCATTAAAAAGATGATAAAGCAATGTCAACAAGAAATTTGATTAACGACTCAAATGGCAGGCAGTCAGTTCGTCGAACGATTGGGCCAGCAGCGAAGACAAAAACAAAATCAACAACAAAAACTAACAAAACCAGGCAACAAAAATGTTTTGAAGGAAATATCCAATTTAAAAAGCAATAAAAATATTTCATTGCTACTTCTTCTACATAGAAACCACAAAATACAAACTCACAATACGAGTGGATAGATAGCAGCTTCGATCGACTAGAGCGGCTGTGACCGTATTGCCGATATTCTTTTTCGATTTCAATTTAAAAGATTATGACGATAATAAACCTGACTAACCATTTTTATTACAACATATTCACATTGGGCCGCTCTCCTGTTGCCTCGTCTGCGTCTGCGACTTTATTTCGACTTCACGTGGAATTTTCACCAGAAACTGCTCGATTAAGATCTGAGAAAGCCAACCATCCCCACCACATGAATTGAAATAAAATGAGAAATGTTAAAATCCAAACACAAATTGGTTTATTAATTTTTCATAACTTAAATACATATTTATACTTTTTATATTTTTCATTTGCATTTCATATTTATTTTTTGTATATGTTTTGTTTTCGGCATACCGGCTTGTGTAATAAATTATGAGATACTTACAAACAGAGTCAGATACAGATATCTGAATAATTAAGTATGCTACAATAAATGTATTATTCGTATCATATTTCTTTGTGTACATGAAAATATTGTTTGTTTTGCACTTATATAAGTAGTCTTAAGTGAATGCATGAAAAGAACGGGGGGTATTCCTGTAATATCGCCAGCTATAACGATCATCTATTCCTTAAGTTGTCGTTCTATTTACAGAAACGGTTGAGGTTGTTGTCGTTGAATTTTCTAATAATTAATTTACTTTCTCTGTTCTTCGATCTTTAAAGACGGTTCTTTGATTTCTTTAACAAATTTACTATTTTAGAGTTTGGCGTCGCTGCAGGAATATCCTCCGTGTGTTAAGCAACTAATTTGTTGTTGTGTCGTGCAAAATTAATGAATTAACGTTTGACAATATTCCCCCCATGCCTTCCCACCTCCTTAATAACCTATTAATGTTTTAATTCTAGGTTGAACTTTGCCAGTTCGGTTGCCGGTTGTTGTTTTAATTGGTTGTTTAATTTTTAAGTGATATGGAAAGCATTTTTCATTAACTTGGCCTGAAGCATTCGCTTGAGTGGCCAACAGTTTGTGTGTTTTTTGTTTTTAGATTTAATATCACAATTTCTCTATTTTGTAAGACATTTTCATCTCATTCATACTTTCTTGAATTAAGTACATACATATATACAAAAAGATACCAGTTAGATGAGAAATACTCGTTCATAGGGGCTTTACTATATAGGAAACAACTGTCTATTTATAAACGAATAGATTTATGTTTATAGGTATGTATATCTAGCATGTCGTATTATTGCACTTTACAACTATATTTTAACATGGGTACCATTACAGATATAGATAGATAGTATTTATAGTTAATGGGTAGTTGTGGTATATTCTTAAGTATGCATTAAATTCGAATTTTGATTTTACTACGCCTTCGATTTCAGATTCAGATGAGTCCGCACTTTTTAGAATTTGTAGAATGAAACGCTATCAGTCTCAAATCAAAACAATTCATGGATTCCTAGAACTTTTCTAGTCATGGAACTGCTTTTGATGCATCTTTGGATACGTTTCACTTTACATACATTTTTGTTTTTGTGTTGTTTTTCAAGCCATATTGTATATGTTTCCCATGTTATATATTCCACCTTATCCATCCAAAGTGAACTCGTTCCCATAAAGAATTTTTAATTTAATGATCGAGCGGTATTCAAGAAATCGTAAAACGAAATCGCAAGTCACAGATATATACTCGTAGGAAACTTTAGAAAATCAAATTATGCTTTTATCGTCATCAATTTATAAATAGTTTTTATGGAATTTTGAATAGAGGAAATTATTTTTACTCCGCATTTATCTGTGTTTCCCGATTAACCAAATTAAGTGGGTTGACCCCCGACTCCCGTGCAACATTTATATTCCGTGCATATAGTCGCGCGAAACACGATGTTAGATTCGCACTTGTTGGAATTCAGTGGTAATGGGATGGATAAGCGATTCAATGTTCAGTTTTCTCTCCTTAGATCGCTGCATGAGATCATTTCTATGCGAGATTTGATTTAAAGTTAACTGTCTGTCTATTTAATCAGTTTTCAGCAGTTGCGACTCAAGGGATGTTAGTCTAGTAGCTGGCTTATTCAAATTCGTCTTTCCAGTCGTTCATCTTTGAGAAGGAAAGAAAAGAAATGCAATAACGAAATAATTTATTAATACAGGTGCTCTATAGTGGTGATCAATGTGCTTGAGAGTTTCAGGGGTAGGAGGTTTTTGTGGTTTCTTGGAAGACTTACATACTTTACGGCACGGTTTCTGAAGGTCTCCTGCTCCATGTCCCGAATTTTGTGAGTCAGCATGTGCTGCTTGAGGTTGCCCTGCAAAAATAAATTAATAAGGTGAAGTAGGTTAGCTTTTGAACTCTACTGTAAGGGACTTAAAAAACACCCATCCACTACCACACTCCCACCCTCTCACATTTTCGACTTAGACTTACCTTGGTCGTAAAGCCGCGATCACAGATGCTGCACTTGAATGGCCGCTCCTTGGTATGGCTCCTGTAGTGTATCTCTAGCGCGGAGTGGCAGGGGAATGTCTTGTAGCATATGCCACAGGTGGTGCTACCACGCACACCGCTTAGAGCCAACGGGTTGAACGGGGCAGCGGGCATCACAGACTGGGCGATCTGGTTCATTGCATTGCACATATTTTGTGTGGTGGCTGGTGGAAAAAGTGGCAGGTTGGGAAACATTCCAAAGGGTGGTCGCGTGGGCATTAACGGATTTGGTTGCGGCGGAACGGAAGCTGGATGGGAAGTCGCAGCTTCGTTAGGGCGGGTATTGGACTGGGGTGACGATTGAGGTGGCGCGTGATGCTGAGCCGCTGCTGCTGCTGCTACGGCCGCAGCTTTCTGCTGGGCCTCCTGTGCCTCGCGTCGCAGCTGCTCTTGGTGAAGAGCCATCTGGTGGTGGTGGTGCTGAGCTGCCGCTGCAGCGGCTACTGCAGCTTGCTGCTGCATCAAGTGCTGATGTTGCTGTTGCAGGTGATGTTGTAGACCCGGCGGCAGGCAATCGATGCCCATCGAAGGGGGCAGGGGCGAAGGCAGCATAGAAGGACTAAGCTTTGGCGCCGTATTTGGGCTGCGGGCCGAGTTGATGTTCACAGGAGGGCTAATGGAAGGCTTCTTCTCCGCTGGAGGGAGCAAGGGTGAACGCGAGCTGGAAGACAGCGCAGCGCGTGGCGTGAGATCTAGTGCGCCCTGTGATGCCTCTGAGAGAGATCTGGCTGGCGAGCTGGCCCGCGTAGAATTAAGCTTGGGCTGCGAGTTGGGACTTGCAGGCGCTGACCCCAATGAGTTGCCGTTGCTGGCGGTCGAGCGTGGTCGTGGCGTCGTGTTAACCACTCCCGTCTGGTCGATGCGCAGCTTTTGCTCAAAGAGCAGTCCCTTAAATTCGTCATCTGAGCGCGGGCGCTCACCGCCGTCCTGTTCGTTGCTGTTCGACAGATGCTCCGAAGACACATCATCGTCAAAATCATCGCCACAATCCATATTATCGTCCATGTCGCCCTGCGAGGACTCGGAACCCAAAGCGCCATTATGGTGAGCGCCCGGCATTGGACCACCAGGTGCTCCCGGCATACCGCCGAAATGAAATGCGGCTGCCGCGAACGGATTCATAAAATGGCCCGGCATCATAGATGGTGGTGGGTCGCGGATCTCAGCAGCCTGGATCTGCTCGGGAGTCAGATCGGTGGGCTCTCCGGTATGTAAGCGGATGTGCTGCTGTAGAACCAGTGCATTAGAGTACTTTTTGTGGCAGACTGGACACTGATGGAAATTGCGCATGGGTGGCCGTATTTTGTGAACCGCCATGTGTGTCTTAAGGTTTCCCTTCGTGGTAAAGGCCCGGCCACAGATGCGACATTTAAAGGGGCGCTCGCCTGTATGGGTGCGATAATGCATTTGCAGTGCGCTTTTGCAGGAGAGTACGCGGTCGCATACGACGCACTGGTTGGGATCGCTAATTTTCTTGTTCTTCATTAGCTCCTTCAGTTTCATTGTCTCCGAGGTATTCGATACCTCAATGAAGTTCTCCCACGAGTTGTCATTGCTGTGTGGTCGCGGCAATAGCGTCATTTCATGTTTGATTGGATTGAAGAAGGGTGAGCGTGAAATGTGCAGAGCAGGCGAACGAATTGGAGAGTGGCGCTCAGGCGATAGCGTCTTGGTGAAGTTTAAAGGGAAGCGCTCGGCAAAGAAGTCCTCGCGATGATGCATCGTGGGCGGCAGCTGTCCCGGTGTTGGCAAATGGTCCAGGTGGTGCTGAGATCCTGCAGAAGGCTGCGGGTGCATGAGGGCCTGTGGCTGCATTGGCTGCACGACCGGTGGGTAAGAAATCGAGGTGCGGTGGCAGTGTGTGGGTGTAGGAGGCGAATGAACAACACCCGATCGACTACTAGACACACTGGCAACCTCGCGATGTTTAGGGGACGTCGGCGGTGAAGGCGAAGGTGAACGCGAACGAGTGCCTGTACATTCCAGTTGTTCGGCCTTTTGCTCATCCTCGATGTGTTCCTCCTTGATTTTAATCTCTAGTGGCAAAACTCCTGGTTGTGGCTCAGCTTCGGAACGCTCTGTAACATCCTCCTCGCTTTGCTCCTTCTCCTCCACGAGCTCTGTTTTTAAGGGCAGTCGTCCCTCCTCCTGCTCCATGACGTGCGGGGAACTGGGTGCCGATGATTTGCGCAAGTCTGTTGGCATATCTTGGTTGTGTTTTAGTGCCGCCTGTGCAACAGCCTGTGCATGAGCCGCTGCAACGGCTACTGCGTTGGAATTGGCACCGCTCAAGCCCGGCACCTGAGGGAAGAAGGGGTGAGGCAGACCAGCGCCACCTGCGGCGGCACCTAAGCTCTTAAGAAGCTCCATGGGCGGACGGTAAAGGTTCTGGAAACCTGGGAATGCTGGGCCTGAGGGGAATGAGAGCGGTAACGACACCGGCGGGACCGCTATGGATTGTTGCTGACTTATAGAACTTGCGGGCGTTATAGCAGGAGCGGGAGAATGCGTTGGCGAGCTTTCCGGTGACATTTGATCCAACAATGGCGGATGAAACTTGTCCATGTGCTCCGGAATGGGCGTAGCATTCATCGGTACATGAGGGAATTTTTGTGCGTGTCGCTGGAAGTGCACCTTAAGGTTGCCTTTAGTGGTGAAACGACTGCCACACACATTGCACTTGAAGGGTCGCTCACCCGTGTGTGAGCGAATGTGAATCTGCAGGGCCGAGTCAGAGCCGAACACCTTGCCGCAATAGCGGCAGCGGTGCTTGAAAAACGGCTCATTGCGTCCCTTGCCATCTGCTCCCTTGTCCCCAAAAGCGAAGTCATCTGCCATATTATTGGCCAGAATTCCTTGCGATGCCGAGTCGAGCACCTCCTGGGCACGCTTCTGCAGCAGATCCAATGAATTGGGCTCGGGTAGATCGTCGTGGTTGGTTATGATGCTAGAGGCCAGGTCGGAACCGAAGGGGAGGGGCATGTTTTCCATTTCCTTGAGGCAGTTTAGTGCGCTAGCAGCACTTCCTGGTTCCATGTTCTTTTTTGAGCAGCCAGCATCGGAGCTATTGCGTCGACTGGCGCTTGGCTCTTTATCGGCTCCTCCATCAAGCGTATTGCTCTCGCGCTTCCGCTTCAGTGAGTCTGCAGTGGTTACAGTTGGCGACGCATTTTCGGCCAGCGGCACCCCAGCATTTATCAAATGTTGACGCGCTTTGGCCTCCGCCATGCGTGCCTCGGCCTTCTGCCGCAGCTCCATGTCAGCAATGCGCTCTTCCTCTTCGTACGTATCCGTCTCGCCATCTTCGCGCTCCTCACCCACCAGCTCGTCTCTATCGACTTCACCCTCTTCGTTGTTTTTCGCCTGGTTGAGAGCTAGTTGCGATTGTAGCTGCTGAATCAATTGTATCTGAAAAAGCTGCTGTTGTTGCAGATTGAAGAGCGTCTGCTGCAGGAAGGCCAATTGCTTCATAGCCGCTTCGTTATCGGCTCCGGTCGCTCCATTGGCAATGGTCTTTGCTGCGAACTGCGCAATTGCCATTTGCATATTTTGGATTGCCTCTAGAGTAACAGGTGTAGCACCGTACTGCGGCGGTGGCAGTAGCGTTGACGTCACGCCCGCTGTGGCCACGCTGTTTGGTGAAGTGGTTGAGCGCCGTGGCTCTGGGTCGGGCGCAGACGTCGCTTCGGGCATTTCAACATTCTCCGACCGCACTATTTTGTTGCTTTCCGCCTCCACCTCAGTCGGACTATGCGGACTACGTGGGTGCGCTGCAGAATGTTTGCTACTCTCGTCCACTGTCAGGGCCAGTTCCACGGGCTCTGGCGTATGTTGCCTGGAATCTGTGGAGTTGCTGCGCTCTAACTGAGAGGCGGTTTCTGCATCTGCGACAGCAGTTGATTTTGTCATGACAACATTGTTGTTGTTGTTATTGTTGTGATTGTGGTCCTCATTGGCTACTTCTTCGTCTTCTTGCTTTTCTGGAGAATCATTTCGCTCCGCTGGATTCAAATCAATCTCCATCTCTTTACTTACCGCGGCTGTACTCGAAGCGAAAGCCGCTGTATCGGCAATATCATTATCACTATTGCCGGCGCTAGCTTCTGCCGTCAGCGGAGAGCATGCGACGCTCTCCTCCAGTTCATTTGCTGTGTCTGGAATGGGAAGATTACAATTAGTCTTCACTATCGACACAGCTGACTTAAGCTAAAGAAAACAAATTCTACAAGGTAGTGCATATACATAGTCGCAAAAGATGATCGCGTTCAAGAAGCCTCGTCTTGTCTATTTGCTGGCAGCTCCCTCCTGGTTGTGGCCAACACCCAAAATGGACTGCGTATGCTGCTCGCTAGTTTTCCCAGTAAATTGCTCATGCCATCTACCAAATATGTCTTCGCTGTGCTAGACTCCACTTGCCTCTCCCCTCCACTGGCTACTCCACTGCTCTATGCACATACATATATGACTTAATCGTGGGCAACTTTTCATGGCACCGGCCTCCACTTTGCGCCTGCAATGCATAGCATCTGTTTGTGTAACCTGCCAACAATTAGCGTTTATCTTGTTGTTCAATTTTTATTGTTGTTGTTGTTGTGTCCAGCTGATTCTCACTTTTATTGAGTGTGTAAAAACAATTGTTTTCTCATCTGCTGTGTATGACGAATTTACAGTGGAACTTGCCTAAGAAACACCCAACTTTTGGTGACCCTTAAAATTGTTCTACCGTCAATTCGAAGAGGCTCTACTACGGCTTTCAAGCCATTGGCATCAGTAATTGCTCATAATGCTATTTGCATGACTAACTATTGGAAGAGAAAGAATGGCATGATAGGCAGCAGGTAGAGGTGGAGGAAGCCAGTCTTCTGTTTTGCTTTCGCTCAATATGGTTTGACTAATTAATTGAAAGGCAGAACAATAAACAGGCACGAACCCAGAAACAGCCTAAAAAGCCATCCAAATCGCAATTTAAAGCTAAATTTTAATAAAAACAAAGCAAGAGGAATGAAAAACAACAAAACTTGGGCGAGTGGCCAAAACTCTACGCATGCGCAATGGCCATAAAGAATAATTTATGATAAGTTAGCCAGCCAGACAGCCAGCCAGTCGACTAGCGGCTAAGACAGCGAATGAAAGAGAGACAGAGACATGAATGGCGTTCCCGCAACCCGACCCCAAGCTCACGCTCACGCTGTTAAATATAATAAAGCATATTTCTGCACAAATCAAACGAGTTGAGCGGGTTTATCGTTTCAGACAGCGACTGCCAGCTGCTGGCTAAGGCTGATCGGGCAACGGCTATAGCGACGACTACGACTGCAGCTTGGCAATGGCCAAATAGCAGATCATCGCAGATACAAACGCTTTATCAGTGATATTTGCATATCAATCCCATTATTATTATTATATGAGCGCTCACTGCCTGCCCAACTCCCTCCTCCCTCCCCATGATCCAACTGTCTGCGCTCATATATTTTTTTAATAAATTACTTTCGCAAGTCGTTCGAAACGACACCGCCCGACTTGCATTCCCATTTGAGTCACATTTGAGCGCTGCTGCGATTGTGGAGAAGGGGCGCAGACTTAAGTTATGATTTTTATACTCTGTACCCAAAAGAGTGTATAATGTGCGTGATCGCAGGAAGTACGACGGCTTATGGAATGATCTGTTCGTCTGTATGAACCTCGACCTAATCCGTACCACAACATTATCACTAAAATCGGTGTATTTCGTTAAACTTTTTTGTTTAAGTTGCTGGGATCTACTTCTGTTACAGGGTATGCGATAGTCGGACAGGTGCCTCTTTAGCATTCTGCTCGTTATAATTGATAAGCGAATGTTGTTTTAATTGATTAAAATTAATTATATTGTATATTGTCTGACTGGGGGACTTACGGGGGGTGGTGGTAGATGGGAGGCTTGGGGCTTTAAGGTTGAAAGGAAAAATGAATGTTGGCGGCCACCTTAAAGGGTTCACTTTTTGGATCGGCGTTGTTGCTTGTCGTCCGCATTGGCCAAACACAATAAATTCTCCAGATACAAAACGAATTATGACGAACATAAAATTGTCGCTGAGGTAAGCAGTTGTTGTTTGCATTTATTGTTGTAGTTGTTGTAGCTGATTTGTGTTGCCCGCTGCAGATAAATCATTTTGTAATCTGCAGTAAAGTTGCAAACAATATAAATAACAATGCATAGAACGCTGTTCGATCAAACGAAGGGTTCAAGAATCTCCAGCCAGCCCCATAAATGGCTGATGATTGGCTAGCCATGAGGAGTCGTTGGCATTGTCATTGCCATTGTCATTGCCGCAGTCTTAGTGGATGCGAGAGATTTAATATTTTAGTTTGGCTTAGTTTATTCTTATTTCTTCTATTTATTCCCTTTATTTTTTGTTCTATATTTTGTTTGCTCGCACCTGGGCGCACAAGCAAAATATTCAAATAGTTTTCTATATAAATACATGCAACAGCAGCAGCAGTATGTTTTGCATGTGTGTTAGTGTGCCATATATTTATTTTTTGTCCAACACAATTCTGTATTTTGTTATTTTTGTTGTTGGTGTTGTTGTTTTGGTTGCTAATCTGGCAGATAAATACATAAATATGAAATTGTGAAATGCGACAGCAGCAGGAAATTTTATTTGCCATTGTTGAGCTGAGTTCGCCGCACAGTCCGCCCCAGACGGCCAAACACATTTAAAAATATAAATTAAATTCTACAAGTTAAAGGTGGATTAAGTCAAGCCATAAATTCATGAGCGACTACAGTCGCAGTAAATTCAAATAAAACATTTCATCGCCCAAATAGAATCCGAAACGCTAAATACCGCTAATGAGCACAGCACAGACCGAGACCCAGAGCCACTATGCTTGGCGGAAAGAGCGCTATCGACGAGTCTTAGGTTTCCCGCTTAGCGGATCATTTAAATCAATTAGTCTTCTGCTGCTTTTCCTGTGCAACCGAATCATAACTGAGTGCCTCACAAATTTTCACCTAAATGTCAAAACATTGCCACACAAATCGCCTTCCCATAATTTGTTGGCAGTCCAATCGATTCGTTCGCATTTCTTTAATATTGCCTTCTTGCTTTATGTTTGCACCGTAAATTGTGTGTCATTTGGCTTTCAAATCAGTCGTCGCTTTCGCACAAGTTAACAAAGCGATTAAACATACGAGAGTAAAACCATTTTCAAATATATGTGTTTTTATAAGTATAAATAAATAAATTAACTGAAGCCCAGTGAATACATAGTGCACCAAAATTCGTAGAAAACTATAGTTTTCTATTTTCTGTTCAACGTTCCTCTGTCCCAACAATGTTTAACTAAAACAGACATTTCCTTTTAAAATTAGACGAATATTAACATTTTTTGTCATTAGAACATAAAGAATTAGTGAACATTTTTAAACATTCGTAGAGTAAACAGCAATTTCATTGATTTCTTTGAATAACATTAAAAAATTAAACGTAAAATGTGTTTCATTTTCTTTGTAATCTGCATTTATTAATAATGATTGCTCAACTAATTCCATATAAGTAAAGGAAACAGGGATTTTATTCTTTGTTATTTTATTATAAACTTTTTTTTAAAGGTTGTTTTTTACCTACATTTATTATCTGATTATCGTATTGTGTTTTCCTTTTGTTTCAACTTTAATCAAAGTATTTATGCTCTTGGTGAACCGCCAACTAACTACTTAATTAGAAAATTATTCTTCCATAACAGCGAATCCGTTGTCTTAAACCATCTCTTTGGTAAAAATAACTGATTAAACTGATAATCATAATGGAAATTAATAATTGGCAATTTAAAATATTAAACTTCATGTGCCTCTTAAAAAGTTGTCAGGCTTGTGTACTCTAAACGCTCTCTATTTTCGTAAGATATATGGTATATGTATACATACTACCTAAATTTCTGTGGGAAAGAGCAGATGAGTTGGCAATAACTTCAACACTGATATCCTCAACATCTACACATAAGTAGAGGATTATTTGTAGAATCGGTATCTTTTAGGAGCACGTTAAAGTCAATAAGTAATAAATGTTTTTCTTTTTAATTCAGCTTTCAGGTAAGCTTGAATATTTTGAGAACGAGGACAAGTCTTGAAGACAGCTAACAGCTTATAACAAAGGAATATGTAAACTAATTTGGTTTGTATTAACTCGGTTAAACTCAGAGCAACATCAAGCATTAAAAACTGTGTATATACTCCAAAAAAAGTTCGAGAAATGCATCGAATTTGACCCGTTAGGGGAACTACATTGCAATGCCTGTGTCTGGTCAACGAATTGCAAACAATATTAGATGGCATGTTGTAATCGAAACGCTTTAAATCTATATGTACATTCGTACTTAAGGATTATGCAAGCCAACCCGCAACTGGACAATCATTGCATAAAGCTTGACTATTCCCATATGTGCAGAAGCTGCCAATTGCTGCACATATGTGCGAGTGTGCGTTTGTGTATATATATATATATATGCGATATATACACATATATATATATATAATCGAGAATACAATTTTTGTGCATATATTTTGCGGGTTTTGCATGCGAACGCGAGCGTTTCAATTATTCCATCATATTCAGTATGCAAATCGGGCTGGCCGAGCTGGTCGTGGACGTGGCCCGCTGCAAAGGTGAAACAAATGTGCAGCCAATTGGAAAATGCAAAGCCGCGAGACTCTGTGGCAACTACAACGCCAATAACAACAACTTCGAGCGACAACAGAATGTCGCATAATTTAATAATATCCAAGCCATGTCGCACCAAAAAAGTTAAACAAAAATCGCGGCCCGGACTGTCGGACCCCGCTCGATTCGACTCGACTGTACTCGCGCGGTATAAATTGACACGGCGAGCAGCCGCGAATTTAAAATTTATTTGTTCAGTTTTAAGCATAAGTAAAAAAAAAAACCCCCAACAACAACAACAATGCGCCACAAATTAATGCAGCAAGCAGCCCCTGGAAGCTAAATCAGAAACGACGCGCACCAACAGCACAAATGGCATAAATAAAAATAATTAAATAATTAATGTCATTAAGCTATGCGTGCACCTTCAATTCTAGACCAGCTATCAAAAGGTGAATTGAGGAAAGGGGCCTCTATTTCGTCCTCCCACACCAATTACATTGGTGGTCCGAATCATATAATCGATTTTAATTTAATTTCGAATGGAATTGGAAATAATTTAATTTCGTTCTTTTTGGTGGCTTTAGTATAATTGTTAACAAATTAAAGAGCGAAGAGAGGGTGTTTAAAATATTATATAGTACTTATAGAAGGTCATGACTATCGAGCTGTCAGAGTTGTAAGCTCTTCAACTACAACCCTGGGATCTATGCTCCAACTACTTAAAAAGTATCCAGTTTGAGACAAAGAGTTTACTTTTTAGTCTATTTTATTTCTTCCTATGAGTTCTTGAACATATTCTTGACGGGTGATATTTAATTTAGATAATCTAGATAGTCCCATCAATCTCAAATAGTGTCCAGATTAAGAAAACCAGTTAGCAAGTTATGTTTAGCAGTGACTTCTTCCTTAATTCCCGCCATTTAGACTATTGACATGCACCACAAGTAGCCTCGCTGGAAAGCTGTCAGAAATATTGAAACTGCGTAAAGTTTTTGTCAATAACAATCCGCATAGGAATCCAAAAGGATTGAAATTGTAATGAGAAGTTAAAATGTTTGAAACGAAAGTTCGGTTGCTTATAGTAAAGAACTTTATTCCAAAATACCTATATATTTCCATATTCAGCAATGTAGTAAAAAAAGCCAATTGTGAAAACTTTGATAGTCCGGGGCCAGCAAATGCAAATACACACATTAAATGCATATGTATTCGGAAATACCGAATCGGGCTCCAATAACACAACAACTCATATGCATATGTATGAAGAAATAGGGCTTCCAAAATCCAATTTAATCCAATTACACTTATGATACTTTAATCGAAAGAAAAAGCTTCTTATTAAACCAATTTAATCCAATTACACTTATGATACTTTAATCGAAAGAAAAAGCTTCTTATTAAAAAAAAGTAAGTGAGCCTTATGCAAAACAAAAAAAGGATGTCATAGGCAGATGATATTCTATTGAATATATGTGTGTAGTATATATAGCTTATGCCCTTACACAATTTTATTTCTACGTATAAGTCTGTTTATATATAACGGTTCTATTTTTTCATAGAAGTAATCGATCAAAAATTGTATCAGTCCAATGCGAGTTTTATTTTATTATAGGGCTTCCAAGTCTCAAACAATGCGGTTAACTGAAATCCTTTAACATTAAATGGGTTTTAAGGCTTCCCTTAAATATGGAAGAGCCTAAGAGCTTCAGAATTTTTAGTAATTTTAATATATTAATTAATATAATTTAAAAGTAATGAATAAGTTTTAGATATTTAGCATTTCGATTTGTTTAAAAACGAGTTACTTTTCTATCCAAAATTTCGTTCATAGTCAATAATACTTTCGCCAACTCACAATCATATATAACTCATTATAAATCACCTGATATTTCGACAGCTCTTTTAATTAGACCTCTAAGGTGTAGTACCGAAGATTATAATCTAAAGTTAATTCCGAAATGCTAATGCATATTTTTATATGGAAACAAATCCACAACTTTTGAGCGATCACTAAATTTAAATTAAGAGTCCAGAGTGTAATAATAATTTATATAAATTCAGGAACCTTCTGGAACATAATTATTATATACATAAGTGTAGATCCAAGCCTCTAGTATCCTTATCGAAAGACATATCAGAGCACCATTGTAGACAATTACCCTTTAATAACTGCTCCATAAATAGAAAAATTTGTCAATTGTAGTCGCCACTTGGGGGACTGGCCACATACAAAGATCGGTGATCGGTGGTCGGCGACCATGCGCTTTGTATGGATGGCGGGCTGCATGCTTGAAACTTGGCCGGCAGCCAGCTTTCGAATTGTGGTCGGCCTAACTGTTTCTCGGCCTCAACAAGTCGCTTGATAACGCATTTATAAATGAGGAACGTGGAAAACAGAAAACTCAACTCAACTCAACTCAATGCAAGTTAGCGCTCCCATTTGGAAAATGTGGCTAACACAAATATGTGCATAATTATAATAGAAGCTGCCGGCTTCCAGCCCTACAGCTAGCTCTGTCCCTGTCCCTGTCCCCAAGTTCGTTAGTCTTCCTTTTATCAGCAATGCGTACTGTTTTCTATCATCGAGGCATTCTCTTTCCCTTTCTTTCAATGATAAATCAGAAATCAATTTGATTTCGATGTCAGAAACGGTTCGGCGGCCGCTTCCTAAAAGCCGCTCATCGATATGATTTAGGAATGACTCTTCATTATTGTTTCGGTTTTGTTTTAAGTGGCAGTGTGTGCTTTTTTACATACACATACTTATAGTGGCACCGTCTGTGTGTGTGTGTGTCGTAAAAATCTGAGACAAGTTTTTGATTCACAAGCGGTTTATTCAATCAGTTTTGGAGACCTCTTTGTGACGCTGCTGTCGTCCAGGCGTGTATTTTAATTGGTTTTGAAAGCTCTACCCATTTGCATATATGTATGCGATGCGGTTCGGTTCGGCTTCGAGTCTAAACAGCCTCAACAAGAAGTCAACAAATTGCAGTAAATATGTACACAAGTGCAAGAAATAAAGCGAGTTCAGTACAAATATTTTCAATGGGGGTTACAGAAAGTTTGATGATCCTAGCTCTCATAGTTTATGAGTTTTCTGGCGTTCATACAAACGGACAAGCGGACAGATGGACAGACGAATGTGGTCTGTCACGCCTTGTTTCGTTTATGGGATACTTTCCAGTGCTTTGCATGTCCCGCTACTTTCCCAGTTATAACTGGAAGCGATAGTTGTACTCATTGAGGAATCAATTCACAAAACAGCGTAGAACAACAAACCATTCGTCGAGCGATCGGTTTTATGGCGAGCGCGTTCAACAAATTGAAATGTCAGACTGCCGATGTCCGCGATACACACACACACACACACACACACAGATATATTGCTCGGAGTGGGTTGGGTGGATGGGTGGTTTTAGCTGGACTTTGGACTCACCTTTGTCGGCGCTTCTAGCGCGATCCTTCAGCTGTTTAACAATGCCATATTTCACAGTACCGAATTGTATCATTTTATTGATCGTCTCCTGGTGATTTTCCTTGAAGTCACTACGCATCGCACACAAAACGTTGGACAGGTGATTTTTCATCAAGAATTATCGTGTTTGGATATCTATATCTAGCTATATATATATATATGTATATAGTTGGCTAGCACCGGCGACTTGCGATCGATCAGAAAGATAATTCAATAATATTTTTTGTACTGCATTTCTGATTTGTGTTTGGGGAGAATGTTTGCGTTAAAAGAACTCGAATCAATCGTAGATCGGGTGAGGAATGAACGAATACCTTTTTGCCACACACACACACACGCACACACACGCAGAGCAGCCTGTTGTCATGCCATGGCACAGTTTTCTTTCTGTAGATTCTAGTTTCCTTAGTCACTGTCGAGGACTGGGCTTAGCAGGGATTGTTATGGGAATTGTATTTCGTTCGCACACGACGCGATTGCGTTGGGAACGCGTTCTGCCGACGGCACTTAGCGGGTTGACGTTTCGTTTCGTTTTCTTTTTTTACGTTACTGTTTGTTGTCTTATTTATTGTTGGCGCTTTTATTGTTGTGGCTGTGGTTGTCTCGATCACAACTTTGCGCATCACACATAATTATAACACTTCACACGATTCTGATTAGACGACATATAGACAGCGCGTGCATAACTCGCATAGAAACGAATCGCATCGAATCGAAATAATATAGCAACAATATATTGCTCGTTACGTATACGTATCGTGGTGCGCTGTTGGGTCGTCGCTGCTCTCTCTGTGGCACGAACGTTCAGCACCGCGCGTCAAAATAACACTGACACAAACAATAACAGCCACACGACCAGAAAGTCACACACACGCGCTCGTGTGCCGTCGTCGGCGCTGCCGACCAAGGCAGCGACCGGTTTGGTTTACTACCAATAATTTTTACATGCCCATATGGCTGCGTCTATGTGTGTGTGAGTGAGCGTCTGTGTGAATGAGTGTTTGTGCTTCAGTATATGAGTGCTGTTGTGTGTGTGTGTACAACATTTTTATTATTACTGCTAACAACACCAACAACAACGGCATATCCTGACAATCTTTCAACCAACCCACCTTATACTCTCTCACACATACAGATGCGCGCATACACATCATTTCATTTCATAAAATTTTTTTTCATATATGCGCTAGCGCGCTCGCTCTCTCGCTCACACCAGCAGCACACGTTCGCACGCACACAAGCGCATTTTCCCTCTCATCATAATTTTTATTAAATTTTGGTGGCGCGCTGCGCATTTTCCATCTCGGTCACACCTTTAGCTGCAAATGTTACTGTTACTGTTGCCATCGACCTCTGGCGCGGACAAGCTGAGCGCGGCCCTTGCCTTCTCACTCACACTGCCACAAATTGCAGGACTTTAGCAGCTCTGCCACTGCCTCTACCGCTGCTCTGCCGCAGCCGCTGCCTCTGCTTACCTGTTTGCTGCATCGTCGTCCGAAACGGACTCAAACGACGGACATTTATGAAACTTGCACGAAAATTATGAGCCACCAATACACTCGCACACTCACACACACTTCTACAGTCAAGCAAACAGAGGCTCTGAGATTACTGTAAAGGCGCACGAATTGTCTCTCTGTCTGCTTCAGCGTTGGCTTGCCTTCCCAACTACAACTTCCTTCCGGTTCCGTTCTCCTTATCGAATACGTTGGCGTCTCACCTGTGCACAATTGTTGCAATTATTGTTGTTGTTGTTATTGGGTTTGTGGCTCTTCACTTTTTTCCACATAGACTTTTGCAGACTTTTACAGGTTCTTATGCCTCTCATCTGGGTGCCACACTTACACTGACACACACATACACACTTACGCCCCCAGAGAGGCGCACACAACATGCCTTCTCTATCGCTCCCGCACGCACACTCCTTTGATTAATAATTTATCATAATTCATATCCAACAACAACAACTGGTTCCGAAGCAGCCAGCCAGCACCAACAGCCAGCCCTTTTTATTGCGCCATCTCGCTCGCTCGCTCATTTACCCACCATTTGTTGCGTGCTCTCACACTCTCTCTTTCTCTCTTTTGCAGTACACCACTCTTGACGCATTTATGACGTTGTTTTTGTTGTCGTTGTTGTTGTTGCTTTTTTAATTTCGGTTTTATAAGATTTTTCTGTTCTTGCCATTGTTTGTTTGCGTGAGTATGTATGTGTATGTTCGGCGTACCGTTGTCCCACCCTCCCCAAGCGTTTGTCTTGTTTGGCTTCGCTTATTCGTCAATTGTGTTGACTCTGCACGCATTTGTGTGTGTGTGCGTGTGTGAGTATGTGTGCGCCTTGAATATTATGAGCCATTCATCAAAATGTTTCGTTGGTTTCATTCGATGCTATTTCTCATGACTTTTTGGGCAACTCCCATTTCTGAAGCGTATTTATTGTCTCTCCGATTTCATTTTTGGGCAAACGAAACAAAAAAGTTATCGAAAACACTTATAAAACAAATACAATTATTTACTCGCCAGCTATTCATCATCGCGCACTTAAAATATGTTTCAAAGCAGCCGCTTTGACGATTGAGTCATTCAATAAAACCGTTTCCAACACCTGCCAATAGAATTGGCCAACTTTTAAGCCCTCGAATTGTTAATTCCTCTTGAAATGTGTTTCAATTAAAAATCCACAAGCGGAAAAGCATTTGGCAGAGTCGTGACTAAGATACAGATTTTAATTTAATTCGGACTGAGGAATTGCAGAAAATTACTAATTGAAGCACTCAAAGCCATTTGATTAATATTCACAGAAAATGTGGTCTGCTTGGAGAGTTTTGATTATAAATAAAGTCTGTGGTGTTTTTTTTTTTTTTTTTTTTTTTTTTTGTATTCTGATTATTCGTTCATATGTATGTATGTTTGTGTTGACAAAGTCACCCGCTAAAATGTACTAACTGGTACCATTATTATTAGATTTAAGAATAGAAACGCAATTTCCTCCGATCGCTAATCTCAATTATCAAAATGGATTTCCAATAATTATTATAAATATTGATGAGCGTCTGGAAGAGATGGATAGGAAAAACAAATCCATTAAAATCTGCAAAGGGTACAGCCAGGCTTGGTCAGCCAGGCTTGGTCAGTTTTGGTTGTTGTTGTTGAGCTCCAACAAGAAAACGAACCAATAAGAAAACGAACAGTAATAATATAAAAGAAAACATTAATAATGCCGTTCTCTCTGCCGCTCTGGCTCCGAAAGTCAAGTCTGCGTTTACTTATCTGTGTCTGTATGTGTATACTGTATGTGAGAAGAAGAGGGAAGAGTCGAGTGACTGTGACTGTCATAAATTTAAGCGGGAGATACAACGAGCTGGGAGAGCGGAGAGTGGGGAGCGTGAGGAGAGCGCAAAATACAATAACAATGCCAGCAAAATGCATAAATTCGTGGGGGAAGCTCCCCTTCCACCACACACACACGCACGCAAACCTATATATATTGTTTATATATGAATACATACACACACATACATATGTATGTATATAAAAATAAAGAAACAACAATCCAAAGATTGTGGGGCCAAAAGGCAACCGCCACCTTGCGCACCAGTAAAAAAACGGCGCACTCATAAACCAACGGCAGCGGCACAACAACAACAGCAAAAGAAGCAACAATAAAAATAGCAACAACAATAACAGCCGCAAGAACAACTTCTGCTCTGATGAGGGAAAATATATGTATGTATGTACATACATTTATATACATACATACCTATGTATGTATTAGAGATGGGAGCGTCGTAACACGACCCAGCACGAAAGTCACCTAAAAGGGATATAAAAGCAATATTTACAGGATGTGGAAAATGTTGTAATTATGTATATATCCATATGGTGGCCATATAAGTGTATTAAATAACTATTTAAAAAAGAAGTAAAAGCTAAACAATTTTAATTTATTTTTAGCGAAAGGTTGGATATTTGTTTTAAAATTATCAAAAAAGTAATACTAATAAGTTAATTATTGAAAATAATGTTTAAAGTTAAAAAAATTTTTAACTTTAATAACTGGAATTTATTTACTTCATTTATGACATTAATTCATAAATTTGGTTATTTTATAAATGAGAATCCAGTTCAGGTTTTGTACTTCAGATATGTTTGTAATTTATTTTCAAGAAGTACTTATTGTGAAACACATTTTCATGTTCAACTTATGTACATTTAATTATCTACAAACGGTTGGCAATTTCTAAGAGAGAATGTTTATGGAATAATTAAAAAACGTATATATACCAATTTGAAATATATTAGTTCATATTATGCATGCGCGTGTTTTTCGTGCCCTTTTGGATTAATACAACCACGCAAGTGGCCCTACTCTAGTACGTATGCATATATACGCTTATATTTATATGTTATGCATTTGTGTATGTGTGCGTGTCTGTGTGTGTGTATGTGTGTGCAATTCTGTTTATATACAAAGAAATACATAATTCATAAATGGCAAGCAAACGCTCATATTTGGCCGCCGCCACCAACAGCCAACCGCCAGCCTTCAGAGGAGCAGCAACATCGACGCGGTATCTGCCCTTTTCATATCTTCTATCATATTCCAACATTAGCGCTCAGATACCAAGATACACACACACACACACAGGCGCAGCCATACAACGGTAAGGTTTTGATAGACTCTCATAATCATAACGAAAACAACAACAGCAACAACGAGCGCGCTCGCTCTGTATTGAATTCTTACAGGTTGCCCGAAACGGCTACCCCCACCGCACACACTCGCACTCGCACACGCACACACAGTAAGAGTAACACTTGCAGACTCATTTTTACATGCGCGCACATATTCTGCTGAGCGCAACATTGCAGCTTATATTCGAAATCGCTTCTATTTCTGTCACGTTCCCGCGCCACTGTTGGTTCTGCTCGTGCTGTTAGCCAACAGTCTTATACACCGGTATTCGAAAATGTAAACAGCCCAACAGTGGCTGTTGCGCACCAGCACTTGCAGCAGCAGCTCTGTCAGTTCGTCATATGCAATGTTATTCACACACATATTTACATACATATGTATGTTAATATGTATGTATTTAAATAGACATGAGTGAGTGTGTGTGTGTTTGTCCTGATTCATTGAATGTTTCGACAGCGCAAAGCTCGAATTTAGACTCAAACTGCCTTAGGTGCTGTAAAAATTTGAGCAGTTGGACGGTACTTTCAAAAATTACAGCCCGCACATCTCTGGAAAACTGCGGGAAAATTGGGGAACTATTTACGAAGTGCTTTTATAAGCGAATCCTTTGAATTGCAGCTAACTGTCAAGGCTTTACTTTCAGATGAATACTAAAAGATTCCCTTAAACTGGCTTTGTGCTGGCAAATGATTTCTATATTATTGGTTTGTTCATAATAATATGTATTAGAAATTGTTTCTATGTTGAATTGTAATATATTATTTTAGTTATTTTTGTGGCTATTGATATTCTTATTATTTTTTCTTAATTATTATTACTTTTTTCTATTATATTGTGATTTTATATGTATTTTGTAAATATAACTTATCTTGTTT